TTTTTTTAGTACTTCAATGTGCTGTCTTCTTTTACATATTTCTGTGGATAATAATCACCAAACTGTGAATCATAAATTAAAAAGTACGGAAAACATGGTTTTGGGAATATAGAAGTAAGATTATTAATTTTCAAATGGAGAAGTAATAAAAGAAAAATAATGAACGAAAATATTCATTTTATTCTGAATTTGTTCGAATTACAAGTATATCATGTATACAGTTATCATTTAAATTATAGCGATAATACGATCATGAATAAATAATCATTTTCAAAACGTTAAACTTCTTGAAACATACTGTTAAATATATATTTAAATATTTATTTAATTATATGGCGTAGAAGTCAAAATTATACTAGTGTTAGAATATTTTCGTTACACACTGCAAATACTCTGATATGATTTTTTTCGTGAAATATATCACAGTTTGGTGATTATTACCCACAGAAATATGTAAAAAAAAACAGAACGTTGAAGTACTAAACAAAATTCAAATATTATTTACGAAAAGTGGGTGCCCCATTGGATCCCTCCATCGGTGTTGATTACGCATAGCTTCGGTCCTGTCGGACGGAGAGAAGCGAGCTGCGAAGGATATGGCGGCAAAACGTCAGTACATGTTGCCGTCGAACATTTTCTCGATCTACTTGAAATGTACATTGTTCCGACGCTTCCATCGGGCCGTTTCTTCTTCAGAAATGTCTACAGAACCCGATCCTGGGTAGAATTTTTGTGCAGAACAAACAACTTTTCGTAAAAGTACAAAAATATTGCGCAGAAACTGCGCACGTCGACAATTTTTTAAACTTTGACATTAATTTATTGCTATTTAGGACCAAAAACAATTAATAAATTGCATGCCACTATATTTCGGAAACTCTCCTCTATCTTTTAACACCGATTAGAACTTTCTAACGATTTTACTTTTCATACAATACCTCATTTTTGTCGAAAATTTTGGGTTTTTACAAAAGCTCGTTTTTTTCGAAAACTGAGGGTGATGGAGCAATTCAGTTTTCGAATCCTTGATCGGAAAGTGAAGCTCTACGAGAATTTCATAGTGGCTATAGAAAATCAAAAATCGTGTCGGGCAGTGCAATCGGTAACTATAAAAACGGGTTGCAAAGCTCGAATAATTGTATCTCCTCTTCCCAAATTGTCCATTTTTGTGCAAAGTCTGAACGTCAATTAGGGAGACTTTACTGTATCGACGTTCGGACGTCGGCCAACCGCGATGCGCGCGACTGGAAGAATAAGTTACGCCTCGTGCCGTGAAATCTTGGCGCGTGTTGCCGTTCGGTATCGCGAGCCGTAAACTGCTAGGCCATTTGCACCGTTCCGCGACAAATGCCGTTTGCATAGGTAAGTTCGAGGCAATTTCGCAGCAGGTGGGTCGGCGCTTTCGAGATTCGTAGAAACACCGTTCCCCTGGAAGATCGAGCATCGGAGCGTCGACGATGTCCCCTTCCGTCGAAAAAACGTGCGGCCGCGACCGCACAGGGTTCGGATTCCGAGGTAACTTTAGAATACGCGATCTAAAAAGAGAACAACGTATTTTACCTGTCGCGGGAGTCTCGAACGAGATCAGCGGATCTCGAGTGCTTTCACAAAATCTTCTCGGCGCTTATTTTGTTGCAACGAGAGAACCAGCCGACTACGAGCGACTTTGGCGCATTCGAGAAATTGTTTTTCGACAGGGAATCCTTCTTAAAGTCGAGAGGTCGAAACGCATTTTTGCGAAAGGAACGGCCGCGTATCCGACGCGATGTTGCAGGCGAAAGAATTCGAGAATCGCTGAGCCGAAAACGTCGATGTTCGTCCTGCTGCAACTTCCGGCTAAACGCGTCCAAAAATTCTCTCCTCCCGCGAAACGAGAGTGGGAAGCTTACCTTTTTCCATCTTGAAATCGAACAAATTTCAACGACTTTAAAATTAATACTCTGCGCACCGTTTTCAAGGCGCTACTTTCGTCCACGCCTATTGTTAGTAAATTAAGAATTTAAGAAATTAAGAAGAACGAAGAGGCGTTCGCAATGAAGTTGAACGTTCACGTATTTATTTCCGACTGATTCACGTTATTCAAATTTATCGAATGTTTGGACAATCGACGCCGGAAGCGGGCGAGGCGTCGACTCGATTCGCGGATAAGTCGGTCCACGGAGATCCTCGCGAGATCCGAATCTCGCCTAATGCCGCCTGCGATGAAATAGCCGGTCCACCGCGCGCCGTGGCCGCCGATGGAAAACGAAGCGCGCGGAGGACTTTGCGTGCTCGCCGAGCGATTCGATTCGGTTCGGGACGAGAGGCCCGTAATCAAAATGCAAAACTCCGCCGGCTTTCAATTGCATGGAATATCGGAATACTCGACGCGAAGTGAATATCGAGCTGCCACGGCGAGCGGAACGCGTCGGGATGCCTTGAAAAAACCTGAGACGAAGCTTCTGGAAAGACGACGGCGCAGACGGCCGACGTCCCGTCGTGCGAACGAGATTATCGCGCGGGTCCGCGAGGCGCGGATGGAAATTCGAGGAAATTCTCGCGTACGGGACGCCTCTTCTTCGCGCTCTCAGCAGCCGGGAAACGGACGTCGTCGCGGTTATCTGGAAAATCGAATTTACGAGAATCGGTCGGTAAGGCGAGCATCGTTTTTTCTTCCTACAGAAAGTTTCGCGAACTATTAATTTATTTATTTATCTACTTGGGAAGTGTACGAGCTCGATGTTCGTTCCATAAATATCGTCGGAATCGGCGAAGATTCGCGAGGAAGCAGAAAATGCATCTTCCTCGCCGACTAAATACATTCTGGAAATCTGCTACGGTCGAATAAACGAACCAGCGGCAACAAGCGGAACCGGTTATTCAATTTTTTCGCAGTCTCGAGCAGAACCGTGCCGGCTCTCGAGGAGGGAATAAAATTTGATCCGGCAATTTGGGAAGTCGAGCGGTCGCGACGGGCGAACGGATCGTAAAACAAGCCGGGACACGGCTCCCCTGATTACCTCCGAATGATCCGACTGGAACAATGATAGAGCTCTCTCTCGACTTCGCCGGGAAACGCCTCCGTCGAGGATTCTCCGGTACGTCTTCGCGATTTCCCTTTGCATGCAAATTCGGTCTTATACGGTTGACTCTCGACGGAGATTGGCTCGATCGCTGGAACGGGAACGCCGGAGTGTAAATGGCGGGCTGACCGCTTCGCGGTGGAAAACCGAAGAGAGCCGTTTACGATTTCTAGGGAGGATCGTTTCCGAGGAGTCTGACATTTTTGCCGAACGCGACATTCGCGCTCCGTTTGCCGACAGATTTCCAACGATCCATCGAACGCTTGTTAGGCGAGTCGCGTAACGAGGAGCACGCTTCCTCGTTCATCGATGTCCCTGTTTACATACTCGACGAAGCAACGACGATGAGAAGACGACGAGAATGAAATCGAACAAGAGAGTTCGAATCGCGAAAAATCCGCCGAACGCGAAGCAAATCTGGACTTTACGGTGGCCGGCTGCTCGCGCTTTCTACAAACCGCTTTCTAACTTGGAAGTACCGTGCGAAACATCTTTGGATCTTCGCGAACTTTCTACGTCCAGCAGGATGGCGAAGACGGCGGCGGCAGGCAGCAAACGGTCGTCGGTTCGCACGAGGTCGGCCAGGAGGAGAAGCCGAGGACGCAGGGCGCGGGTGGGCGACAGCAGGGCGCCGCGTCCGACGTCGGGCAGACCTTCTTGGGACCCTCCGCTCGTCCCGCGATTTCCGGCCGGTTCTCCCGCATCTTCTTCATCAGCGCCAGCAGCCTGTTCACCTGCGCCAGTCTAGCCGCGTAATCGTCGCGCTTCCGTTTCCTCCTCTTCTCCGCCGTTTGCGTGGTTTCTTCCTTCTCCTCGAGCCGACAGTTGCACATCAGTCTGTCGGGATGCACGGGAGGCAGGATCGTCGCGCTACCCCAGTGGTAGGACTCGACGTCCTCGGACGACAACTCGCGGAACTGGTACTCGTAATAGTCGTCGGACTCTTCCCGAGCGTAGAACGCTTTCCGGATGCTCCTCGGCGCGTACGTCTCCGTCAAGATGCATCTGCCGAGACAACTCACGCGAACGTAGACCTCCAAGGTGGCCTCGGTCTCCCGTTGGTTCTCGTCCAGCAACGGGAACGTCCCGCGAGTCGATCTGCAACGTTCGGAACGATCTTTAGAATCGAAACCGTTGAACTCGACGAAAGCGCGACGGAAACTCGCGGGTTTTTGCCGTGAAACGGTGGCCCGTTCGTTCGGACTGCGAAGCGTCGCGCTCCTGGACCCGAAGCGAGATTTCTGACTCGTCCGATCGCTCCTCGACGAAACAAAGCACGACTGGTCGCTTAAGAGCTAATTAACTCGGTTAGGTTAGTTCGCCAGAAATCGCGTCCGCCGTAACCGCAGCCCGAGGCGTTCGCTTTAATTCGTTCCCGCGGAAAAGCGGATTTACGAGCGCTCCTCCTGCCGGACCCGTATCAACGCGCGTCTCCGCCATTCTTTGGCCGGGAAAGATAAAACGTTATCCTCTAAATTATGTTCCCCGGCGCCGGTAACGAACTTGTTGGCCGAAGTTTCACATGCTGGAAGCAATTAACAAGGTGGCAGTTGGTAATCGCATAAAGGAACGGTTTCCTCGACGGCCGTCAAAGCCGAGATTCGAGGGGCTGCTCGAGAGATTTTTCTTCTGGAAATTGGAAGACGCTTTCGCGTTGGTTTCTCGCGTACGAGTTTCCCGCTGCTTCGAGAATACCGTGTATTTTTATACAGCTATAATACTCGAAACTGCGATGGCTGGATTTCCTCGAAGAATCGCGCTTTCGTACTTCGACGTAAAGGAAGTATTTCATTCGCCGACAGCGTTCCGGATGTTCCGATGATTTCGGATTTAAAAGGGGGTACAGCTTTTTCGGACGAGCGTGGTGGTTGCGGCTTCGATCGGTTTCGGTTTCGGCTTCTGTTCGTTTCGAGAAAATGGCGAGAAAGATTTCCTATAGCCATTATGAAATTCTTGTAGAGCTTCACTCCCCGATCAAGGATCCCAAAACCGAATTGCTCCATCACCCTCAGTTTTCGAAAAAAACGAGCTTTTGTAAAAACCAAAAATTTTCGACAAAAATGAGGTATTGCATGAAAAGTAGAAACGTTAGAAAGTTCTAATCGGTGTTAAAAGATAGAGGACAGTTTCCGAAATATAGTGACATGCAATTTATTAATTGTTTTTGGTCCTAAATAGCTAAAAAATGTCAAAGTTTAAAAAATTGTCGACCTCCGCAGTTTCTGCGCAATATTTTTGTACTTCTACGAAAAGTTGTTTTTCCTGCACAAAAACTCTACTCAGGATCGGATTCTGCAGACATTTCTGAAGTAGAAACGGCCCGGTAAAAGTGTCGGAACGATATACATTTCGAATAGATCGAGAAAATGTTCGACGGCAACATGTACCGACGTTTTGCCGCCATATCCTTCGCAGCTCGCTTCTCTCCGTCCAACAGGGCCGAAGCTATGCGTAATCAACACCGATGGAGGGATCCAATGGGGCACCCACTTTTCGTAAATAATATTTGAATTTTTTTTAGTACTTCAATGATCTGTTTTCTTTTTTTACATATTTCTGTGGGTGATAATCACCAAACTGTGATATATTTAACGAAAAAAATCACATCAGAGTATTTGCAGTGTGTAACGAAAATATTCTAACACTAGTATAATTTTGACTTCTACGCCATATAATTAAATAAATATTTAAATATATATTTAACAATATGTTTCAAGAAGTTTAACGTTTTGAAAATGATTATTTATTCATGATCGTATTATCGCTATAATTTAAACGATAACTGTATACATGATATACTTGTAATTCGAACAGATTCAGAATAAAATGAATATTCTCGTCCATTATTTTTCTTTTATTACTTCTCCATTTGAAAATTAATAATCTTACTTCTATATTCCAAAAACCATGTTTTTCGTACTTTTTAATTTATGATTCACAGTTTGGTGATTATTATCCACAGAAATATGTAAAAGAAGACAGCACATTGAAATACTAAAAAAATTCAAAGTAGCACGCCCCACACGCTAAGTGGGTACACCATTGGGTCCCTTCATCGGTGTTGATTACGCGTAGCTTCGGCCCTGTCGGACGGAGAGAAGCGAGCAGCGAAGCACATGGCGCCAAAACATCGTGTACATGTTGCCGACGAACATTTTCTCGGCCTACTCAAAATGTACATTGTTCCGACGCTTCTATCGGGCCGTTTCTTCTTCAGAAATGTCTACAGAACCCGATCCTGGGTAGAGTTTTCGTGCTGAACAAAGAACTTTTCGTAAAAATACAAACATATTGCGGAGAAACTGCGCACGTCGACACTTTTTTAAAATTTGACATTAATTTATAGTTATTTAGGTCCAAAAACAATTAATAAATTGTATGCCACTATATTCGGAAAACTTTCCTCTATCTTTTCAGACCGATTAGAACTTTCTAGCGTTTGTACTTTTCACGCAAAATCTAATTTTCGTCGAAAATTTTAGAGATTTTTACAAAAGTTCGTTTTTCTCAAAAACTGAGGGTGATGGAGCAATTCGGTTTTCGGATCCTTGATCGGGAAGTGAAGCTCTCCGAGAATTTCATAGTGGCTATAGGAAATCAGAAAAAAAGTTTGATTTTGTCGGACAGTGTTGTCAACGATTATAAAAACGGGGCGCAAGGCTCGAATAATCGTATCTCCTCTTCCCAAATTGCCAATTTTTGTGCTCAATTTGGGCGTCAATTAGGGAGATATTATCTCAATACGCGTTTAAATCGTCTCGATCGATTTTCTATTTTACGATTCAACGAATACCGCTTTCTAAACTTAGGAATATTGGAACATCGAACGGGAGCGTCGAATATAACGAATCTTCTCGATGAAATATTACCTCAAAATTGTCCGTCGACGGTCTAATCGAGAGCCAGCTTGGGTTTCGCAAGTATCGCGGATGCCGTGAAGACCCGCGAAACGTCCATCGCGACGGCAAACGATCGATTCGAAATCAGAAAAAAGTTTGATTTTTGTTGGACAGTGTAACCTTCGGCGGGCACGTTCCTGCAAGAAAATACATACCTCGAACGTGCGGAACGAAGGAAAATGGATCTCTCGAAAATTCTAGAGCAGAACTCGAGCCGAGCATGTTGGATTCTTTCGAAATCGTTCCGCGCCTCTTCCTCCCCTCGTATGGAAATCCGATCCCTTTTAGACTTTAGAAACGGTGAAACGGTCGGAACGCTACACACGCTGGAAGACTGGAACGCGGATATCTCCGTTCCGATTACGATTAGAAAAGTAAGTTGGAAAGAGATCCGAGGAAACTGCTTTGTCAAGGCCGTGCGCGTCTTGGCCTCGCGCGAATTAAATCCTCGTTCCGCGTGAAACTCCGTCAAAGTTTTCGCGCGTAACGGCCGAGGACGAGCGAAGCTCGAAGCGAACCTACGAGTCGGAATTCAACTTGGCCGAGCAAAATTTCGAAAAGCTTGAAATTCGTCTTTCGAGAGCCCCGGGAACGCGAACGCGAGTCCGCTAATTAGTCGACGGACATTGTAAATCACCGTGTATATTTGCCAGCGTCCGCGAAGAACGGGCCAACGCTGTGTATTCGAATCGGCTCGTGTAATTAATCACGCGGGTGTATCAAACAGAACAGCGCGGATGCGTCGAAGTGGGATTTGCTGGTATAATATGTATCTCGGTATTTCGAAAGTGCAGCGGGATTTAACTTGCAAAAAGGTTACCGCCGGGGACGGGTGTTTGCGTGAATCTAACAGAAAGTGGGACGTGCAAACACTTTGTTTTTTAAATCTATCCGTTAGCTTACCAATTCGAGCGGGCCGAAACAGGGTGAAACAGGGTGAAACGGAACAACGCGCCGGTTCATTTTTTTCCCTCTGTTTTCCGCTGCAGGGGGCAGAAAATTTCGTGGATACGGGTCGGACAACGGACGGATCTCCGATACGAACGAACGGAGAACGGAGAACGGGCCGAATCGGGTCCCGACGTCCCGAGTTCCGAGTTCCGAGTTCCGAGTCTCGGACTAATGCGGCCGGGGCACGGTACAGCGGTTTTTTAAATTACATTAACCGTGGCCGGGGTAACATTCGCCGTCGGGGTAATCCGTTTCGCCGGCGCATTTGCATAAACGCCAGGCTCGCGTATTTAAATACGTTCACCTTGATACAGGCTCCCGGTTCAGGTCACTGGAAAAGTACCCTTCCAGCTCTTTTCTCTCGCTCAGATCCTTGATAATGCCGTTAAGCAGCCCGTCCACGCTGACAACTGCGTAACCGAAATTCTGCCGGCGTTCCAGCTCGAAAAACTTGGACACCTGTTTGTACACGTAAATCTGAAGCTCCACCGCCTTCACCGGTTTCTCCAGGCACTTTTCCGGGACCGCGAACACCACCGATTTCCCGCCGTAGAACCGCTCGGTCTCGTAGTTCGAGCCCCGGTAGGATCTGTAGTCGCTGCGATTAGGCGCCATCGTTACCCACTCGTCGTCCAACATACGGAACATTACGATCGTCTTCTTCAGCAGAGCCTTGTCGAACAGGCTCGTCCACGGCATATAAAGCTGCCGAAATATGTACACGACCCGTCAATATCGTACGCGAAACGTTCCAAGTATGGTCCTCGCGCGACGATAGCGACGGCAGTGGGGCAGCTGGGAAGAGGGGGAACGCGAACGCAAAGGTGCCTTCTTGTCGCGCGAAGACTATATATCTGTTATTAGCGACGGTGTCTGCGCCGATTAAAACATTTCAGACTTCGTTGGGTCGCGAGATTAAAGAACGCCGAGTTAAGACCGAAAAGTTTTCGATCTTCGAACTCTGGTAACTCGGTGTAAGAAAATCTAACAACGTTTCTGCCCGTGCTCGTATTAAAGGGCAAAGTATCGGCTCTCGCTCCCTTTGGCTCGGTTTCTCCGGCGATCCTTTCCCTATTTCAAAGTGAAGGGAGAAACCGAAGCTCTGCTTCTCTCCGGTTGAAATTCTACAAATGCAAACGACCACCGCAGAGTTTAAAACAGTTATTCCACGTTCGTTCTTGCGGTTATATTAAATCCCTGCGCCGATTTGTCCGAGATTCTACGTTGAATTCGTCGCGCGTCCACGATAATTGTGATTGCGAAATCTCGGCCGCGGGAAAGCGGAATCTTCGGTTCTAATGAAGCAGCACGCGCCGCTCGCGAACAACATTTTTATGTTCGACAAGATCGCGTTGAAGATCTTCGTCTTCGTCGCGCCGTTCCGGTGCAATTACCCCGATGAAAATGAGTTGAAATAATTTGTTAACGCATCGTCCACGCGGACGCGCTTTTCTCGTCGAGCTCGAAGAAAATACGGCAGGAAATTCTTGTTCGCAACGTGAATACAACGTCGAATGCATGCTCGCACGCACGGAAAGTTCGTTTGCTATCGGTGCGAAATCCGATAAAGCTACGTATATGCGCCCCGGCAGTTTGATAGACAGGGTATCGTAAAAGTTTCGAGCCCGTAAAACGACGCGTCGCCTTCTAATATAAAAGGTCGCCGGGCCGAGCGGGTTTTCTTCGAAATGAACATCTCTTTTTGCGACGCCGGAGACAATGGTCGAAAAAAGAGTGGCAAGTTTTAACGCCGGACTCTCGTCTGAAGTGCACTTTGCAACGAGCAACGCGTCGCGTTTCTCCTTTTATCGCCGCGTTCCGCGCCCGTCGCAGTTTTCACGACCGAAAATGTTTCGATACAAATGTTGCGTCGAAGTCCCTCGTTAACCGTGCAACCCGGTCCGATCGATCGCGAACGAACGCGCGAACGACGCCGGATTATTCTCTTTGATAAGCGAGTCCTATTTTCTTCGAAGCTCGCGCGCGTCTCGATCGAGAGGCGAGACGATGCTCCGAGCGGCAAAGGGGTTAACAATGTACTCACATTTTCCACGGCTAGCTCCAGCATCATCAGCTGCGAGTCTTGCGCAACGATCAGCGACGACATCTCGAAGGTGCGCCGGGCTAAATTACAATCTTCGCGACTTCGCGTAATTCTTCGGCAAGTTTGATTTATCGCCGATAAAAGCAACGGATGAAGCGGCGACGTAGACGGGGAGGGGGAAAGAGAGAATTTTGAAATTTTTTAGCAGTTGCCAACTATTGCCGGATAAATCACGGGAGGTCGGAGCGCGTCGCGTTCACCGATTTTGCGACATCGCTAACCTCGCCGCCGCGATATCGGCGGCGCATCTTTCGAGAAATAAATTTTATTTCGCTCGAACTATCGGCCAACTTCGTTTCCCTGGGCCGACCCTCTGAAATAATAGACCGGCCTGGAGTGCCGTCAACTCCGTCTATATAGAATTCCATCGCATCGCCGGGAATGTTTAGAAAGCTTTCCCGGAAAGTTTAATTAGAAAATAAATTGACCGAGCAATAAATGGACGCCCTCGAGGAACGAAGATGCTCGAATTATCATCGTTGCGCCTTCAATTTTCGCTTCGCTTTTTATTTCTTTGGAAAACGTGCCGTCGCGCCGCTCCGCGTCGAGAGAAACTCGACTCGATACCAATTCTTTTTCTAAATTAAAGCCCGGCCAATTATCTTCCGCGGATCCGTACGGCTTCGAAAGCTATTATTTCTCCTTGGGGCCGGACTTCTTTCTGATTTATTCCCGAGCTATCGTATTTTCTAGACGGTACACCAAACTGATTCATGTAAAATAAGTAGCGTCGTAGTTGCAAGCCAGACAATTCGATTCGAGAAAATCGTGCCGCAGAGTTATTTTAATGCAACAGGGAAAATTTAATCATCGGCATTTCGAATTTGATTTCGCCGATTTTCAGGCGTTCCGTGATTCTCGCGTTTCTCGCGTTTTTCACGACCGTGCAGCGTCGTCCGTTCTCTGTCTCGAGTCCCGAGATGTTTCCAGCCGCGCAGAATGGCTCTCGAGGCATTTTTCCTCCAGGCTCGCGAGCGGAAACACAATTAAAAATACTTCGAATGGAATAACGAGCGACAAGATGCAGGGAATAAGAAGAGACCGGACAGAAGGAGCATCGAGGTTGTCGTTTCGAAGCGGGAAACGTCGTATCGGCAAAGGAAACGGACGTCGGCCCGCCTCCGAAATAAACGGGACACGGCTCGAACGATTTATTTATTCGATTCGTCGGTGAAAGAAAAAGGTACGGAAGTTCGGGAAACACGGTAAACTTCTGTAGACCTTCCTAACAGCTACTCGTAAATTAGCCACTTATGAGCGAGCAGACTTTGCGATGGCATGCTGATTTTTAAAGTGCAACACACGGAAATTGAATCAGAGTTGAAGCACTTCCTGCTCCCCTAACTGAGTTCCGAGAGCTGCCCCTTTTGAAAGGACCATGTTAGTTAACAGTATGTTGGATCGACGAGTGTCGACTGCGATTTCTATACGCCCCGAGCCCGAGCCCGAGCCCGAACGCGAAAGCGAACGCGAACGCGAGCTCCGAGTGCGCGTCGAGTTCTCGATATAACGCGAACGCGTCGAATTGATACCGCTTTTAATCGCATAACCAGATGAAGTCATCGTCCCCATTGAAGTTCGTAACTCGGAAAGAGCCGGCGCGGTGTGACGAGGGAACCTCGGACGAGGATATTGCGACGCACCTGAAGCACACTCGAACGAGAATACACTTTTCGCGAACGAGAATCGTTTCTGACACTCGTGGACTAGCGGGCTTCCAGATGTCGGGGCCGAACCGTGCCCTCGCGTTTTCCGTAATTGCTTCGCGAAGTTTCGACACGGAATTCTTCACCTAATTTCTTCGGCGACCGACCTTTACGCCCGTTCCTCGACGGGATTTCGTTCAGAATCTATTTAGAATCTATTCAGAAATAAAACGAGATAACTCTATCCGATCTTTACAACCGTTATCGGAAATCATTTGAAACGATCTTAGAACACGACTCTTCGAATGCGTGCCCGTAATCGCGAAGCTGCGGATTTCTAGGTAAGATACAAATTGTTTTATCCACGTTCTCGTTTCCGCGCGCCTTTCGCTGCATCGATATCAGAAATGACTATTCGAATTCGGTTTGCAACACGCTCCGGTTAACGTTCTTCCGTTATACAATATTTACTCTCAGCGACCGAATATCGAGGATTCTCTAAAAATCGAAAATTTCGTATTCGAATAGCTGCTCGGATGCAAGAACTGCAGCGCGCGGTCCAATATGTCCTGGAGCAGTTAACGTGGTCCCATCTGTGCGTAAGCTGTACCTGGGGCTGGGACTGGGACGCGATACAATCCTCTGAGTGCTCCGAAAAGAATTTCACGAGCTAGCTCTCTCTCTCTCTTTCTCTCTTTTTCTCTCGACTAGCATGCTCCCGCCGTTGATACCGAATAATTTCTTGCGACCTGTAGTCGCGCGGAATGGGGCTCCGTCGCGTCACCGTGTTCCACGAGAACGGTGTCTCGCGGACAGAGGCATGCTCTGCATCGCAATGACCGTCGCCCACCCTCGGAAAAATGTCCTCCACCCTCGTTATCCGAAACCACGCGCGGTTGTTGCAGTTGCAGTCGTCGTGCCCGGTGCTTCAGCCGTTTCGACCTCGTTAAAGTAATCGCGCGTGCCGATAAAACTCCACGCTCGATCGAGCATCTCCGTGTCGTCGATGCTGGGTCACCGGTGACCCGTTTCACCCTTTGGCTGCCGCGTTTCAAACGTGTCGCATTCGGTCGAATCATTTCGTAAATTCGTTATCCCGTGGAATTTGTTCGCGAGCATGTTCCAAATAATGGTATCGTTTCATTCCCAAGTACTTTTGTTCTCCGAAAACCGCGTCGACCGCGGCTCTCGAGGCGAAATGCTCCGCCGTGCGACGATCGGTTACGGGGAAGCCGATCCAACGGCACGGCATCCTCGTGTTTCGCCGCGCAAACATCTCTCGAACACCTCCGGTAAGAATCGGCACGAGTCCGGTTTCGGGGCACGTATCATTTCGCGCGATACAGTTCGAATCCGGGCGCGCGCGGAACTTGTTTCGCGAAATAAAAGAATATTTGTAGCCCGTTCCCCTCGAGCGCGTGACTCGCCAGCAAATAGCCGCGATTCGCCGCGCCACGCGATTCGGCGAACGGCCGCATTGTTGCGGGCTCTTATCTAAACTCTCCGGTAAAACGGTAAAAGGGTTAATCGAATCGCGAAAGTCCCTCCTTTCCCGGCCGCTGGGTGTTAGCGGCGAAATAGAATTCGGCGACGCTTTTAATTCGACGATTCGCACGGTCGAAAGTTCCTTGGGACGGATCGAACGGAAACGATTTCCAGTTTCGAGGGTCTCGTTTCGGGACTCGGGTCGAGATTGCGTTTCGATCTCGCGCCGAAATTTCACGGCCTAACCCGGGAACGAGCCACGTCGAGCGAGGAGAAAGTTCGAACGTCTGTTACTTAAAAACTCGTAATTATCCTTTTGCGCTCGAGGCTGCTTCTTCTAGAAAATCGAGACGCTCGTTCGAACTCACGGTAATCCCTGTCTGCTTGTATCGGAAGCAGGCTTCTATCTTGCAACAATTATTATCGAATCCGAACAAATTTAATAAGGAATTGTAGGTAAATAGAGGACAAACGATTCGGAATGAAATCGTCGAACGCCGATGCGCAAACGAGATTCGATCGAGTTCGAAACGCGAGCGAAGCTAATAAAGAATTATGTTCCCTCGGGGTTTTTATTGGCAGTGCCTCGAACGTTCTCCTTTCGACCGGCGCATACCGTGACCGTACTGCAGATCTTTGTGGAAATATCAATTTTAGTGCATCGGCTCGCGGAGATTAACCTTTTAGGTACGGCTGAATTCTGCGCGAAGCTATTTCTTTGGACGGCAGAGTCTGATACTGTATATTCTGTCTGTATATACAGGATGTCCCAAAAATGTCTCGCAATCCGAAAGTGGCGGGTTCCTCGGGTCATTTGAAGCAACTTTTTCCTTTACAAAAATGTTCTCCGAGGCACCGTTAACGAGTTATTAACGAAAAACAGTGACCAATGAGAGACGAGCTCAGCTGGCGCGAGGTGATCGAGCCAATGAGCGGAACTGGGCTTCGCGCGCTGATTGGCTGGGCCGCCTCGCGTCAGCCGTACTCGATTCTTATTGGTCACTGTTTTTCGTTAATAACTCGTTAACGGTGCCTCGGAGAAAATTTTTGTAAAGGAAGAAGTTGCTTCAAATGATCCGAGGAACCGCCATTTCCGGATTGCGAGACATTTTTGGAACACCCTGTAGACTGTTGTAAATCGATGTGAAGACAAAAGAAGTGTGAAACAATGCATATGAAGACGATTATTTGGTTC